CCTCAACAGGCTCGAGCAAAAGCCGCAAACAAGTCAACCGGGAAGCTCTCCTCGCAATTGAACGCCCAGAAGAAACAAACTCAGAGCGATTTGCTCAAGGACGCCAGCGCCCAGCAGCTGAGACAGCGTGATGCCGATGCTGCCGCGGAGGCTAGGACATACAACTGAAGTCAAGATGCGTGATAGAGGCGGGAATAAAGAGAAGCGGGTTTAGCGAATTTCCTTGACAAGTTAGATAATGGGATTTGGGTGGGCAATGTTTGTTGATAATACCTCTTCGTTTTGGTATTTGAATCTTGGTTTGGAGTTTATACATTGCCGGCGTCTAGGCTAATCGAAGTTACAAGTTACTACACTTTTTCCATTTCGCCCTCTGCGATTGCGCTTCACTCTAGCGCTGTTGTTTCCAATTTTTCATGCGATCATATCCTTAAAACACCAAAAACGGATATCAGTACCAGCGTTATTATTGACTCCTCTGCGCCCCTGCCCTATTGCTGCCATGGCATTATCTGATATACTACAAGAACCCGGCCCGGACAATTTACACGACATTATAACGTCCAGACGCAGGAGCACGGCTATCAGCCGTAGCCGCCGCAACAGTTCCCTCACTCAGAAGCCGGGTAAGCTCGGTCATAGCAGCGCCAACCACAACCTCCGTATCGCCCTCGACGAGAATGTACAACTTCGGGTCTGCTCCGGCCGGAACTTCCTTGCCAGCAGGATAAAAGGTTCCCTTTGTCGTGATCGACACCCCGGTCGCTTCCAAAATCTTGGCCACGTTCGTTCTGTTCGTGACGGCCCATCTGGCCTTCTGCGGGAAGTCGTTGATCTCAAGGGTAGCGTGGTACGCACCGGCGTCGGGGCCCTTGTTGTCGATAGGCTGTCCTGACCGGAGCTGTCCGGCCTTGCCGAGTCGCTCATTGATGTTCCTGATGGCTGCGCTGACCATATCGAGAGGCTGTCCTGGCTTGCCTCCGGCGCCACCGGCAGCCGGTACATCTTTGCCCTTAGCCTCTTCAGGCTTATTGGCGGCACGAGACACAACGGCCGATACCTTGGACTGGATGTCGATAACAGCCGACTTGCCCTTGTCCTCGGTCTTCTCCTCCTTGACGTCGTCTTCTTCGCCCTCAGCCTTGTGAGTCTTGCGCTCACGAAGACGAGCAGCTTCGCGCTCAGCGTCGAGTCTATCCAGACCTTTTCCGCCGAAGCCAGAGTTGTCCTTGGCTTTTCCTGCCTTAACCTTTTCTATCCAGGCCTTACGCATCTCTTCCAGGCGCTTAGGGACAGGAACACCGCTCTGCTCGAGAGCCTTTGCTATACCAGGGGCGCAATTCTCCTGGTCTTCAGAGATGTACGTCACTGCAGTTCCCAGGTTACCTGCTCTTCCCGTTCGTCCGGATCTGTGCACCATGTCCTCGTGGTGAGAAGGTGGGTCGTAGTTTACAACCAACTTGAGCTGCTTGACGTCCAGACCTCGAGCTGCAACGGATGTTGCGACCAGGATGGGCACAATACCGTTCTTGAAATCGGAAATTGTAGAATCACGATCCACCTGGTCTTTACCACCGTGGATGGACATGCAGGGGTATCCCTTGGTCATGAGTTCCTTGAGAAGGTCGTCGGCCTTCTCCTGACGTTCGACGAAAATTAAGGTACGGGCGTCCTCATCCTTTTCGTAAAGCTCACCAAGCAGGCCTAGCAGATGGTAGAACTTTTCAGTCTCGGGAATCACCTCGACAATCTGTGTGATGTTTGCGGGAACGATGCTGCGGCCACCTACGGTGATCTCAACTGGAGACTTGAGCACCTTCTTGGCGAGGGAATCAATGCTGCGAGGCATGGTTGCGGAGAACATAATGGTTTGTCGGTCAGGGCGGATGTTGGCGAAGATCTTCATCACCTGAGGCTCGAAGCCCATGTCGAACATGCGATCAGCCTCGTCGAGGACAGCGTAAGTGACACGACGAACATTCGTAACACGGCCCTGGTTGGCGGCCAACAGGTCAATCATGCGGCCAGGAGTGCACACGACGATTTCGGCGCCGCGCTTAAGCTCAGCGATTTGATCTCTGATGGGAGCTCCGCCATAAGCACACACAGCCCGCAAACCCATCGCCTTCAAGAAGGGTTTACAGTCGCGATGGATCTGGACTGCCAGCTCGCGAGTCGGCGTCATGATGAGACCAATAGGGCCATCGGTGTCCCTGATAGGTGGTTGATCCATGATGTGACGGAACATGGGAAGGAGGAAGGCCATTGTTTTACCTGATCCAGTCCTGGCAACAGCAACAACATCACGCCCCGACATGAGGATGGGCAGAGATTGCATCTGAATCGGTGTCGGCTTTTCATAACCAAGGCCGGCGATGACGTCCAATGTCCGCTCATTGAGACCGCACTGGGCCCACTTCTGTACCGGCTTGGGGACGTTTTTGCCAGAGACTTTGATGCCGTCGAGCTCGGCGCGCAGCTCGGTAACTTCTTCCTCGCTAAGAGCGGCGAGCTCTGCTGGTTCGACCCAGAAATCCTTGCGTATAGGAAGTAGGTCTATCTTGCTGTAATCCACGGTGGGTATGTCTTTTTTCTTGCGTTTCGCCGCCATGGCGAGAGCTGCATTGGCGTTGAGGCCATCATCTGCCTTGAAAGCGTATTCATCGTCACTGAAGTACGCCTCGGGCTCTTGGACCTTCTTCGTGGATGTACTTGCCTTAGGACCCGGCGCGGCTTTGGTATCCGACAAATCGGCCATGAAAGCGTCCAAAGGATCAAGATCGTCCTCTTCGGCTTCCACGACCTCCATCTTGTCAGCGACTGGAGGTTCTTCGACTGGCTCGGTATTTTGCGTTGGTGCAGCATCTTGCATGTCTACATCTTGCTTGGACTCTTCTTGTGCCTCTTGTAGCTCTTTCTCGCGTCGTTCGTGCGCAGCACGGGCGATTGCAGCAGCCTCTTCTTCCGTTTCGGCGAAGTTGCCACCGTCCGACTCATCGTCTTCATCTTGATCAGCGTAGGGGGTGTCATCAGCCTCGAGGGGAAGTGCGGGTAGCTTTGTGAGTTTCCTCTTTGTCCCTTCCTCCTCATCGAGATCAAGCTTGCGCTTGTTGGCGAGCTTCTCACTGTCGGCAGTCGCCTTGCTGAAACCAAAAGCGCTCAGGTTCCGGTTGGCGGGTAGCGCCGAAGCTGCCATACCATCAGTATATGGCCCTTTCATGAATGCTCCTTGCGGATCTGCACGAGAAGGGAGCGGTAGCTTACCTTTCGTGATCGGTGCAACAGCTACTGTGGACTTTTCGGGCCGGCCTTCTAGAGCCCCTAGCACACCATTCGTACCGGTGTTCTTATGCGAAGCTGCCGACTTCTTCGCAATGGCCTTGGGGTCGAATTTGCCCGCGAAAGGCACAGCTGGTGACGCGTTCCCAGAGGTATTGAGCGTTGGCGCGGGAGACGCCGCTGGTGACGCAACGGCGGGAGACGCGACAGCGGGCGAAGGTACAGATGGCGAAGCGGGAGCTGGGGACGCCACGGACTTCTTGTCCATCTCCGCGAGGAGATTCCTAGTCTGACTTGGATTAACCTCATTCTCTTTATTGGCCTTGGTCTCTCTGCGCTTCTTCCACGCCTCGAGCCTGGCGAGTCGTTCGGCCTTTTTGTCAGCTTCAGTCTGGGCTGGGGCGGGCTTGGGCTTAGCAGCCTGTGATCTGGAGTTAGCGATCAATGTGGAGAAGGGTATGGTGACCAGTCTTACCTCATTACCAGGAGCACTGGCTTTCTCTGGAGGCGCCGCGCCGCGTGGGCGGCTGTCATCTCGCCTGCTACGCGGACGGGAGTCAGCTGTTCCCTCTCGCCTTGCGCGAGCCCGATCCCTGGAGTCGTCTCGCCTTGGACGATGGTCCCTGTCGCCTTCGCGATGCCGCCGTCTGTCGAGAGATCGGTCTCTGTCAGCGAATCTGTCGCGAGACCTCCTCCGGTTGTCTCTGTGGCGGTCGTTGTCTCGTCGGCCTCCGCGGTACAAATCGTCGTCTCGTCGGTCTATGGAGCGATCTCTCCGGCGGTGAGAGTCGCGATCGCGCTCGCGATCTCGGTATCGTCGCTATTGGTACCTGTCAGAGTCGTCCCCTTCTCGTTCTCCACGGTGTCTTCTCACATCGCCAGGGCTCCTGGACCGCGAGCGACGACGATAGTCTCTGCCTCCATCATCACGGCGGTCCCTTCTGTCATCGTCTTTGCGGCGTCTCGCGTATTGGCTTCCTGCAGGCGATGGTGAGCGCGAGTCCCTGGTCCGAGCCATGTTGTAGGTCTCGAGCTACTTTTTATCGACAGGGTCTTCACTCGTGTGTTTGTGTCTCTGCCACTGCTGATTCTAAGCTTTCGAAACCTGATGGTTAAACGTCGCTGTACGTGGCCGCGTTTCCTATGAACAGGCCTATTGGGTTGCAAGCGACGGATCTGGGATGAGGGGCGGAAAAGTTGCGACGTGATGATTATCAGATTAAAGTTGATGCGCCCAGAAACGAGGCCAGCTCCACCGAGCTTTACCCGCGGCACTGCACGGACTATTGACCAGCCACACTTGCCATGTGGCTGGATTATTGTCCAGGTGTGGCGGGGAAGATACCTCAATCTCACTTAAATCTCTTTTAGCGATGGCTGGTGGCATAGTACTCGTCTTACTATTTTCAGAGTTTTTTTTTTCGCAATCCTCAGTCACTTTGAACAGCATGTGAGGAATTTCAAGGACTATGGAAGAAGATAGCAACTAGAAAGGGTGTGAAAAAACAAAAAAGGTACAATACGGATACCACAGGGCGCGTGCATTCCCCAGATTTTATCGCATGTCGCGTGGGGCGTTTAAGCACACCGAGCTTCTCACCTGTACCCAATTATCCTGTTCATCCATCTCACTTACTCTCACTTCTCAAATCACATCAATATAACGAGAGAGAAGCCCGCCATCTCACTTCATTCAAGTGTAGCCTAAGAGCATACAAAAGATGGGTGGTCTGGTAGCGTACGCCAGTAGTGACGAGGATGAAGAAGTTGAAGACGTAAAGGTGTGCCCGCGCAGATCCTCCTCATTCCCCTGGAAAGACCGTTCACTTACACAATATCCAGACTGAGGTTGCCGAGAAATCCACATCTTCCAAAGATCAGACAGACTCAAGTAAGATCTCCTCCATCAGCCCTTATCTTCTCGCAACCTCGTACTAACGAACTCCTCAGATGAGGTCAAGCCACCATCACCACCACCTGCTGCTGGTGCCGCCGCACCTCAGCAACCAAGAGAGCCTCAACCATCGACAGAAGCCATAACAATAGGCCCAGTCCAGCAACACTCCGTCCCCCTGGGCCCCTCCCTCCCCCCAATGGACACCCAGCCCCCAAATCTCCCGTTAGGAGAAGGCCATTCCCAACCTCCAGCCTCGCCATACACCGCCTCCCGCGCCCTCCTCCGCGACCTCACCCTCCCGCCCGTCCCCAACTTCGACATCCCCCCTTCGCCGCCGGGTTCCCCCCCTCCGGCTCTCAGCGCCAAGTTCACCCAATTCCTCGACCTCAAGAAGAAGGGCGTCCACTTCAACGCCAAACTCGCCCAGTCCGCCGCCCTCCGCAACCCGAGCCTGACGGACAAGCTCATGTCCTTCGTCGACCTCGACGGCCGCGCGGGCTACGCCACCACGCTGCCGTCCGAACTCGGCTGGGACCCGACGTCGGAGGAGCTCCTGCCCGAGTGGGCGGGCAGGACGGCGCTGCGGCAGAGCCAGGACAAGGTGCGCGGCGCGGGGGCGAGAAAGGGAGGCGGGCCCGTCGAGTTCGTGCCGGCTGCCGCTGGTGCCGCCGAGTCTGCTTCGCCTGCCACGGCTGGGATCGAGCAGGGGGGCATCGTCTCGCGTGGCGGGAAGAGGAAGGCGGGTGCGCTGTGAGAGCAACAGCTGACATGGTTGATGAGTCCATGGGCAGGGCATTTGTTGGTCATGCACGTCTGTCAGCTGCTTCAGCTTCATCTTTTTCATTGCCATGGCTATCCCGCTTGGCAAGCGTTTGGGGGATTCAGTAACTCGGCAAGCTGAGTACTGGGGTGCCCATCGTTCACCGACCATTTATCCTCCTTCACTCTTCTGCGCAGGGTTGAGTACACGGGCAGTTGTCAGACACCCCATACGGACCCAGCATATCCTTCTCTTTCCATTGCCCGCTCCAGGTTGACCTGCTCGGTGAGTTTCCAGGATACCGATGCAGCTATCAGACGTCTTGTGTCATTGATTGGGTGTATCCTCCACATCTCTGGCATCGCCAAGGGGACTATTTCTGTGTGATTTCGTACTTGGTTCTCTAACTGCAACCTATCCTCGAAGCTATCCGAAACTGCCTTCACGATTGGCACCCACAGACCTCGGTGTTTCTCTGACTTCACCGTCGATCTCCTCGGTATCACTTCACTCAATCAACAAACAGCATGGGCCAGGCGGGGGAGGAGATGTGCTGGCGTGTCTAGCGGCAAACACCCACATACATACAATACACACTAGTGCCGTGGGAGGATATCATTATTACTCCGGGGGGTTACATGGTCTGCATTGCCGCGCAGTGGGGTCTAGAATGGAGACAGAGTTTCGCAACGACGTCTCAGGTGCTGGGGTTGTAGTGTCGTTTCTTCTTCTCTAATATTGGAAGCCGAGGCGCGCGTCAAGATTTCCAGCACGTGGGATTGACGACGATTGTCGGATCTCTGATGCCGGTCTCCACGCCCAGTAGCAGTTCTAAAGGGTTGATGACTACAGAGAGAGGGAGGGAGGAATCTAGAGGAACGAAACATAGCACATAGCTCAAAGCCTCAGAAAAAATATCATCACGATTGATACCTCTCATTTGAGATGATGACTGCTCCAGCGGAAACTTTGTGCGCTCGTGCGTCCCAAAAAGGTGTGGTGTGAAATCCGTCATTTGTCGTTAGATGGTCGACTTCTGGGACACGGACCGAGAGAGAAAAAGGTGGAATGAATGGGAGTTCTTGGGACGACAGGTTGTGTGTGGTAGATGCGTCACTTTTTCTCCTCCGTCAGAGTTGAGGCTGTAAGACGTAGGGACGAGAGCAAATGACGTCGAATCTTAAAAAAACAGAGTGCGAATTTGCGACGCTATCAGCTGAAGGTTATCGTAACTTCGTATGTGATATCTCTGCAAGTCACGCTCATCTCAGTCCAGTCAATAGAGTCAGCTAACAAGGTATCATATTCCAGTTGTTTTGCGGCTCTACGCCGTCATATCTGGGGTCGCTAAATCATCATCACCACCACCAATGTATCCGGTCCGTCGCTCTTAACGCTACCTCCGAGTCGCAGCAAAGGTTTCCCAAATAACATAATAAAATCCATTAATACTGTCATATTCGTGCAAACCTGAAAACCTTGCCACCCGTCCCTCCATCACTTAGCGCGTGGTGTGCCCCCTTTTCATTGATCCGTACAATACTAAAATTGAACAAAAATGGCTTGACTTTCTAGGCAGTGCAGGTAAAAGTAATGTTCAGAGACTTCTTCAATGAGTCACCAATGTTGATATCCGTGACGACTTCGCCGGAGGAGAGAGCATCGGAAAAGTAAGATAGTCTCTGACCGTTGCTGGTGACGTCCTTGCCGCGGAGGCTGAAGGGGATAATGCCGTTTTCGCAGGCGGGCTTCTTCTGCATGGCGGCGAGGACGGGGGCTTGGGAAATGTTGGCACGCATGGTGACGTTGTTCATCCCTGGGCGGAGTAGGAGGTTGTCGAGATAGACGGTGCCAATGTCCTGGCCATCCAAAAGGTTGGCAAAGGAGGCGTTGCCCTGAGGAGCTTGATGTCAGTACTGATACATGTGAGAGAGGAAGTCGCATCAACGTACGATTTCCAGAGTGAGGACGGAAGGGTTGGGAATTGAGACGTGACCCTTGAAGTTGTCACCCCGAGCATCCGGCGTAAGGGAGATGGTGTTATCCGTAACATTGAGGCCCTTGAAGCCGTTCAGACCTAGGTTTCGTTAGCAACAAGCCTATTTGACGCAACCTCGGAATTAGTGCAGTGGCGGCGGGACTTTACCCTTCAGGGTCATTGTGTTTCTGAAAGTGACCCCATAGCGCCTGGCAATGCCATTGACCTTGATGTGAGTTTTGCCATCGACCGTAACTCTGACAGACTCGTTATTTTGGAGCCAAGTGTTGAAGGTTGTGAAGGCGGGCATGTCCTCGATGTTGATGGGCTGGCTGATGTTGACGGTCTGCAGCTTAACTGACTTCGTCTCGGGGAACGTAAGGTTCACGAAAGCAACTTCTCCCGGGAGATCCGTTAGGAACATTTTGCCGTTGAAACCCTCGATCGTGGCCTTGACCGAACCGTCTGATCTCAGCGTCGAGTTGATAGCCATATTGTATGAGTTGGGTTGTGTGTTGGAGACGATAATTCCGTCAACTGTGAGCTCAGCATCGTCGAGCTTCTTTTGTGCAATTTTGGGTACGGCAACGAAGATGCTAAGTTTCGCGTTAGAACGTTAGGATTTCAATCACGTGGCTTCCTGGAGAGACGTTGAAACTTACATGAGTAGGACGACGAGAAGAATTCCTGCAACACTACCAATTAGGTAGAGCCACCAGAACTTCGCACAATGTCTCATGCACGTCTTCCTCTTGCCACCGCCGTATGCAGCACCACCACCGACAGCATTCTCAGAGTGGGAGATATCGTGTTTACTCATGTTGTCCGAACTGCTTCGTTATGCGTAGTATGTCGTGATATAGCTGTAGAGTTGCTCTTCACCTCCGTGAGTTCCCGATGTGTGGGGGAGTGTTGTGTGTGTGTGTGCAAGGGATAGATAGGAGGAAACTGTCCGCTTAATGTCGATGTCGATGACAGCTCAACAGCTTTTGTCTAGGATGTGAGAGAACCAAGTAATCGAGTGGGACCGAAGGTGTTTAAGTACAGAGATCGAGAGAGATGCTTTCTGGGGTAAAAGCTGGGGATGCCAGGGAATAGTAGGCACTCTAAGCATCACACGGCAGCGATAGCTCGAGATCTCCATGTCCACATCAGGTATGTAACCCTCCCCCTTCCTTACCGGCCCATCGACTAACCCAGCCCGACTCGGTAGGGTAGGCAGGGTAGTGTAGGTTGGGATGTGCTGCGGACTTGCGGTACCTGGGGCGTTGAGCAAGCATCGTGTGTAAGTGCAAGGTGGCAGCGTGGATGTGTATGGGCCGAGTGTGCCTATCGAACGGACACATGGCTAGAGTGCGTAACAAGAAAGAACGGATCGGCCAGTCAGATGGCAGGCCATCCATAGACCAACGCAGAAGAATATGCCAGGTCAAATCTTTGACGTCCGAATCTGCGATGGGGGGAGGTCGAATTACAAGGGCAGACCGGGGCAGCGTTGCCAGTTTAGGTGGCATGCCGAGCAACGAGGTCGACACCATCTTCCCAAGCGGCTGCCCCGCATTGTGTGTCGAGAAAGAGGTAGGGGGACCCCTTGCCCGCTAACACCAGAGTTGCAATCCCGCTGGGCCACCGGAGTGCGGTCCCTCGGCATCTCGTGAACAAGATTGAGCATATGAAAGTGATGTCGTGTGGTTGTGTGTGTGTGTGTGTGACTGGGTGGTGTTCACACAGGTTCCCCTTCTGTGTTACTACGGCGCAATATACCGGCCTGTGTGGCTTGCCCACCCCTGCAGGGGTATTGATGAGATTTCCTTTTTGCAGGTGAAGAGGCAACGGGTAGGAAGTGAGCCGTAGACGCGGTCCAGCCGTTGCGAGGCAATCCGGATCGTGTTAGGAGGCAAGTCACGATGGAATGGCTGAGATTGGTAGCCTCGAATGAGATGGTGAACGAAATGGCTCTCTACCTAGGTGGTAGTGCTTTCAATGAGACAAGTATCAAGGCGGAGGCGAGTGAACCAGTGGACGTTGACAACTCCAAGGATTCAAGAGTGCGCACGCCGCCCGCTGGGAGGCCCTCCGGCGGGCTTCTAGCGTTCGAGAGGGTATCCCCGGCTGCCCAATCAAAGTATCATGACCTTGAGGCTGATGGCGTTCGTTCTCTCGTTCATGCGCCACTGGTGAACCTCTTGGGTGTAGGTACTACGGAGCGCTAATGAAGGTTCCCAAACTGCATATTGGGGGGGGGGTCGTCGGTTTGACTTTGATGGAAATCTCGCCGAGTCTTGGCTTAAACGCGTCAAAACGAAAGAATCGGTAGCGCGGCGAATTCGACAATCACATGGGCACGAGGTGTCAGAATTTTCAAGGAGGAGCTGAACGAACAGAGAGAGAGAGAGAGAGAGAGAGAGAGAGAGAGAGAGAGGAGAAGAAAGAACCGAAGGCAGTGCGGCGCGGAAAGGAGCTGCAGCTGTAAACGGCCAAAATGGGCAGATGATGGGCGAGGATTGGCTGGACCAGACGTGCCAGGATGAATTGGCTCGGAGATTTGACGCAGAAGGCCAATGATTGACATTTCGAGATACGGAAGGACCTTTGCTTGCCCTCGTGAGCTACCTACCTACCTTACCTTGTAGTCAGGTACTTGCCTGCTTGAGTTGGTGCTGAGGTACCTGATGTTCCCACTAGGAACTTAGGAAGGTACGAGAGGTGCGCACTGCATTGCACTTGCACCTGCAGCCGGCGAGGGACAAACGATATTTTCGACGTCCCGCTCTCGCCTTGCCCGCCCCAGCGCCGCTTCTCTTTGCCCTGCCAATGTCCCACTCATTCCTCCCCCAGCATCCCCCAGAGTCTGGGCACTTTTCGGGTAGGAGCGGGGACGGGGACTTACACTAGCAGAATCTTAGCTACCTGGGGAGCCACTCAGAAAGCGCCAGTTACTGAGGGGGAACCTGGAGAGCCCCCGCCTCCTTACACAAATGGGTGGAGTCGGGCACCTCAGAGCTTGTGAGCCACTGTGGGGCGTCTCTCCATTTCCCAAACGACTTTTTACCCACCGGAATCATACACCAACATGGAAGTTAGTAACAACAGCTGCGGATACTTCACGGACCCGAGGAGGTAAGCTCAGGACCTGATGTCCACGTTGCGGCTTGCCCAGGCAGGCTATTCAATATTTTCTGCTGTCATTACAAATGGTCTCATGGAGAGTTGCCAGCCATTACCTTATCGCACCTCATTTCGACATTTGACATAGCAACCAACCAACCAACCCATCATATCAAGCTTGTCTTCTTCGCATAGTGTATCTTTTTTGAGTTTTTTTTACTTTTCCCCAACGTAACATTCGGCCGATTGAGTCAGCCAAGCACACTTTAGGCAAGAAGCTTGTGCCAGCCTGCCAGGGCTCAGGATATCACCAGGACACAAGGGTAATGACGAAAATGGACAGAGACGATGACATCCCACGCGGCCGTGTATCGATGGTCTACACAGTAGGCGCCAAATTTCACGGGAAGAAGACCACAATGGCCTTTCTGCCCATCCAAGTAGGTGACAAAATGAGATGCCGCTCCATACCCTAGCTCTATCTCTATCATTCATACTACTAATAATAATATTCTTTTTCTTAGTTAATGGAAGCTTCAAAGTTTATGATTTATAGTGTAAAGAAAAATCCTCACGCGACCACGCACACCACGCTACCTGCCCAACCACCCTACACCGGGCCGCCGTCTTTTCTTCACCACGGTCCCTAGCCTATCAGACACGATGTCGACGTAATTCGTCTCGAGTCGCTCCGCTCCGCCTGACGTTTTCTGACCGAGAAAGCTGCGGCACATCACTGCCTACCCACCACCATGGGACATTCTCAACCGGGATGCTAGGCTTTCATGCTGCCTCTCGGGACTCGGGACGACGAATGAGAAAAACTTCGTCGGATCGGGAAATCCCAAAAAAAAAAATCCATCCAAGGAGGCTTCATTCCAATTTTCCAAAGGTTTCGTTTCAGGACATCTCAGACCAGCCAGTGACAGGATGACAATGATGACACTAGCTGACATCCGAAGCTTAAAATTCGTAAGAAATCCAGAACCCTCAGTTTGCTTCTATACTATACTGATGATGTATGACTCTACAAAGCCTACTCATACTGAGCGAGACTGCGGAACCGCAATGCTGTGGTCTACCTGATGTAGGACACGCATTCCGCGACATACACCTTGAGCGTTCTTATCTGTCTCTCGTCTCATCCCAACGCCCTGAAAGATCCAGGCATATCCTGCTTTAAGCATGAGGCATATCCCACCCTCGTAGCCAGGACTTCATGCAAACGCTCGGCTTCGTGACCAAATGAAGCCATTTACCCCACGTTTGCCCAACAAGTTTTCCCGTTATACAACGCAACGTCAGATCAGCTCGCTTCAGCTGTTTCCCGGTCGTGGGGAACATCCGCACTAGAGCTTCGACTTCACCCACAGGCTAACCCTATTCTCGATCCCAGACTCGCCGTCGTAGATATCTCTCTCCACCGCGCGGGTGTTGATCTGCGGCACTCATTAGCATCCGACGTCTCACTACAGTCTTGGGTTTTGGCTATTGTGGTGTTGCCGCTTACAAATTTGGGTCCTAGGTCGCTGATGCTCTTTGCTCCGAGCAGCCTCATGCATGTCTCCATCTCGGCTTTGAGAACTGGGCGAAAGGTTAGCGACTCGTTCACAATGACACGGCTCCCACATCAGGACTTACTTTCGTATGTCCGCTCGACACCTGCCTGACCTCCGGCACCGAGACCGAAGAGAGCAGCGCGGCCAATGCCCACCGCCTTCGCACCCAGGCAGAGAGCCTTGACAACATCGGTACCGCGCTTGATGCCGCCGTCGACCCAGACCTCGATCTTGTCAAAGACCTCGGGGCAATACTTGCGGATCTCCAGCAACGTGTGAACAGCAGGTGGTGCCGTATCGAGAGCACGACCACCATGGTTGGACAGAATGATGGCCTTCACCTGCGGTGCGTACTGGGCCGCCAGGTAGGCGTCCTCATGTGTCTGCAGACCCTTCAGCACGATGGGTAGGTCGGTGTGCTGAGCCAGCCAAGGCAACGTCGTCTTCCACTCCAGGTCTGCTGCCGTGCCGAAGAACAGCTGCTGTCCGACACCTCCGCCGCCTGGCCGCTTCGCCTCATCGGTCTTTGAGTTTGATTCGGATTCAACCTCGAATGATCCCTCGAATTGCTGCTTCTCGTCGAGCTCACGTTTTCCAGGCCACGGTGCATCCAAGGTCAAGGTGATGTACTTGTAGCGATCCCTCATAGCGTTGATGCGCTTCAGCATGGCTTCGCTCTTGGCTCGGTCATTCTGCACGTAGAGCTGCCATCCAAACACTTGACCCTCAGGGGAACCCTCAATGATCTGCTCCGGGGTCATGGACGCGTTATTCGAGACACACTGCATCGCATTGAACTTGGCCGCTGCCCTCGCGATGCCTCGCTCACCATCAGGGTGGGCAAGTCGTGCCATGGCAGCCGGCGCCACAAACAACGGAAGCCCGACGTGGTTGCCGAGCAGGCTTGTGGAGGTGTCAACTTGTGTACAGTCGACAAAGACGCGAGGCCGCAGAAGAATCTGCCTGTATGCGCGACCATTGTTGCTCTTGGTCCAAAGGTCGTCGGCGGCTGAGAAGTAGTACGCCCACGCCTTCTTGGGGATAATTTTTGTGGCAGCTTCCTCAATCTCGTCGAGGTTGAGCAGCGTCTCGAGCCTGGGCGGGCCCTCCTTGGGTTTCTCGGATTCTGCTTTCGCAGGCTGAGGTTGTAGCAGCGCCAATGACTCAGGGTCTACCGTGCCCAGACAGTCTTCGGGCTTGAGATTCTCCTCGAGAATACCCGGCGGGTGTATGGGGTCGTACTCGTCTGTCGCATCTTTGCCGGAAAGCTTAACAATGATCTTGGAGCCGCCGGGGTGTGAAGGGAGGAATTCGGTCACGTCGTACACTTTGCCGTAGAGCACCACCCAACAACTGTCGGATGTGTTGTGCTTGGCCACTGTGAGAACTGTATCAGCATTGACTCGAAAGCATCACAGCAAGGGAAGCACAGCAAACCGACCTTCTTCAGCAGTGAATATCTTGGACATCTTGTTAGCAATTTGGAGCTCTCCTAGTCGTACAGCTTAGGGAAACATGGGGAGGAATCTCAACAACTCACAAAGCGGGAACATCATCGTAATAAGTCGCCAACCATTCGGCGGGAATTACCCCGTACGTCTGGTGTCGGAGACCAGGCCCGTGGGGGGCTGATCTGGGGTCGGGGCAGCAGAGGAGCCAGTCCATCGTCGAATCACAGGGCACTTTTTGGTCAAGCGTTCTGTGGAGAGGCGCTGGATGTTCTGGAGCTGTGGAGGCACTTTCATAAGTGGGGGCTCGCCCCAGTGGAAAGAAGACCGCGAGCGCGCAAGACAACGAACATGCCCCGACTTCGGACTTAGTTGTCGGGGCGGCTCTCGGCGCTAGACGCTTCGCTTCGCTTTGGCGCGGCAATGATTTTACGGGGACGTCATCCAAATCCGCCCCCAGAAAGCAGTACGGAAATTTCGTCAATCGACACTACAGCGACGACTCTTGCGATCGCAAAGACCCAGCTGCCTTGACCTGTAATTCCGAGTCGCGTTCGCCAGAATTGAAGCCCACAGACAATACTCCGCACATTCACAAGCAACATGCGCACATCAATCCAGATCGGCGTACGAGACGTATCTCGCCTATGCGCGAGATGCCGGCGACAAGCGACAATGACCCGGCCATCCGGTGTGGTAGCCGTGGTCACCGCCAGTAATCCGCTAGCCACAACACATGCACGAAGGGCATCTGGAGTATCATCTCTGATTTCCAGTCAAAAGCGGTGGATGTCCAATACGGTTCCGCTGTCACGGCCGGCGACGACGGCACCAGACAGCGAGGCAGCGACCGCCGCCGCGAGCACGCCAGACAGCACCATCCCCAAGACGCACTACGACTTCTTCCCCATCACCCTCCCGGACGGCCCGCCACCCAAGGGCCACTTCCCCATCGACCAGCGCGCCCTCCGCCGCGAGTTCCTCCGGTTGCAGGCCAAAGCCCACCCGGACATGCACCCGGCGGAGCTCAAGACGCGCGCGGAGGCGACCTCGGCGCGCATCAACGAGGCGTACAAGACGCTTTCGAACCCGCTCCTGCGCGCGCAGTACCTCCTCTCGCTCCGCGGCGTCGATGTGGCCGATGACGAGACCCTCAAGGTTGAGGACCCGGAGTTGTTGATGGTGGTGCTCGAGGCGCGCGAAGAGATTGAGGAGGCGACGGCCGAGAGCGAGCTCGAAGGCCAGAGGGAGGCCAATGACGGGAGAATACGCGCAAGCGAGGAGGTGCTCGAGGCGGCGTTCCGGCACGACGATATTGAGACGGCCAAGAGGGAGGCGGTGAATCTCCGGTATTGGGTTAATATCCAGGAGAGCCTGAATAATTGGGAGGCCGGGAAGCCGATTGTTTTGCAGCACTAGCTGGAGAGGTCACGATTCTTCCAAACGAGTTCATAAAACGGTGGGCTTTTCTATATAAATTGGGAAGGAAGAAAAAAAAAGACGAAAGAGAGAGATGAAAAAGCGTATATCTGAGATGAGAGGGCTCGCTCGTCATCATCAGCCGATGATGGGCCGATATTGTACAATACCCGGGCGGTGTCATAAATGTTAATGATTGCATAACTCTTCTCAACCCCACATATCCCTGCTCGCAAAATTGACTGGACAAAATCGACGGAAAGGGTACCAAGTCACGTTTGGCAAAAATTCCCGACTGCCCAGAAACCCGGACCTACAAGAAAAAAGCTCCCGTCTCTAAAATATTTAAAATAGCACGTCGGTCTCGTGAGACAAATCCCCTAGTCTCCGATGGTTCACCGAATACAGAGACTTGAGTCGAGCTACTCGTTGTGGAAATTCCCGTCAAGAGAGGTTGCGATGTCATGCATTGCAGAGGTGCTTACCTGTTGAACCGGAGAGAATACCTCTACGTTGAATAGACTGCAGCAGACCCCGAACAGTGACTACGTTGACATGTGCCACGGTAAATGGAAATACGTTCTTTGCGTTTAAATCGACTTTCTAATGCTCGTGATATGTAAAATGTGCGGACTAGTCAAGTTCTCTGCATTAACAATGGTTTGATGTGGAATACTCATCGCTTTATGACTTGTATGGCTTATCGTACAGGCCCTTTGGATGTCAAATTCCCTTTCTAGATGAATTGGCTAACCTGTACCATTGCGAAAGAGTCATTTCAATGCACAAGTGAAGAACTGGGCGAGTATCCCATCTGCAGGAGAACGCGTAGATTGTGGATGTCTCCAAATCATAGTCTCCAGGCAGTTTTGAGTGTCATGATAGCCTCATTGTGTGATATCTTAGAAAAGTGGCTTCACTATTTGACTCCTATCTTGCCTACACTCAACATTATACAATACCTTATGAAGGGCATGGAAAACTGGTAGCAAGTCGAATTTAGTGCTCCGGAACCTTGGCCCGTGGGCCCCTGCACCAGGCGCCCCTCCAACGGCCCCTCAAAGCTCCTACCCCACCATGCCTGCCTAACTCTATCGATGACAATCATCCAAGAGCTCACCAGCTCTTACAGCTCCACGGCTTCACGATTTCAACCACCAATATCAAGAAGCAACAAGCTTAGACACGCACCCTCCTCCGACCGTTCCACCCAGAATACAATACCCTACACCAACCGATTACGAATAGCTCGACATATACACATCAGCACACATCGAAACCATGGCGCCCTCGCAAAAGGTCGCCGAGCGGCTCGCCCAAGCCGATTCGGCCCCCGGCGACAAGGCCCCAGCCTACGAGTCCATCATCGCCGACATCAAGACCCTCTCGTCCCCTCCAACAGCCGCGCCCGACCTCAACGCCGTCCTCGACGCAATCTTTGCCGCCTCCCTCGGCATCGTCTCTACCCGCGCCCTGCTAGCCTCCTTCGTCGCCGCCCTCCGCGCCCTCAAAAACGACGACCTCTGGATCGCCGTCGGCAACCACACCCTCGCCCAGCTCGCCACTCAGCCCTCCTCCTTCCTAGATCAGGCCGCCTCCGTCCGCGAGCTCGTCGCCGAGGCCCATGAGAGCGTCGAAGACTTCCTCGACGCCGCCAACGTCCTCGCCGAGATCCCCCTCGACGGCTCCCAGCGCAAAGTCACAAACGACGATAAAGCCCGCGTCTGGGTCCGCATCGCCCGCAACTACCTCGAGGTCGACGACACCACCGCCGCCGAGACGTACGTCAACAAGCTCAAGAATATCATGCACACCGTTCAGGACCGCGACCTCGACCTCCACTTCAAGCTCTCCCAGGCCCGCATCCTCGACTCCAAGCGCGACTTCCTCGGCGCCAGCGGCCGCTACCACGAAATCAGCGTCAGCCCCGCCATTGCCGAGGAGGAACGCCTGCACACCCTCGGCATGGCCGTCAAGTGCGCCATCCTCGCCCCCGCAGGTCCCATGCGGAGCCGCGCCCTGGGCCGGCTGTACAAGGACGAGCGCTCTGCAGGGCTCGACGAGCACGGCATGCTGGAAAAGATGTTCTTCGACCGCCTGCTCGCGCCGGAGGAGGTGGACAAGTTCGCGCAGGGCCTACAGCCGCACCAGCTCGCCACCACGGCCGACGGGTCCACCGTGCTGGCCAAGGCCGTGGTCGAGCACAACCTGCTCGGCGCGTCGAGGCTGTACCGCAACATTGGCTTCGAGGCGCTCGGCTCCCTGCTCGGTCTGGATGCCGAAAAGGCCGAGGAGACGACGGCGCGGATGATTGAGCAGGGTCGCCTGCTCGGCCGGATCGACCAGCTCGACGAGGTGATTTGGTTCGAGGGCGGCGAGGCGTCTGGGAAGAAGGGCAGCGGACGCGCCGAGGTCGTTGTCGGCAAGGAGATGCGGCGGTGGGATGCGAATGTGCAGAGCGTGGCTGAGGAGGTTGAGAACGTGACCAATGCTCTGCAAAAGCAGTTCCCCGTGAGTCTATCCCTTACGTTTCGGGTACTCTTGAAGTGAATTACCTGCTAATAGCTACTCAGGAATTTGTGGAAGCCAACTTGGTCATTTGAGATGAATTACTATGAGGAAACTGAACTTTACACACACACACACACACACACACTATCGGCGTTGTTAAAAAAAAAAGGGGGTTAAACATTGGCGTTTTAAGGATTCATGCGATCAACAGAGAGCGCACTGCATATCACAAATCAAGAGAAAGCACGTCAGCATGGAGCAGTCACGTAGCCTAACTCGCGTAGTAGACAGGAGCTAGACTGAATAAGAGAGGACGACGAGTGAACCATGCAATGAGAAACAATATTCGCATTAAAGGAAAAAGGTATCTAGTTCAAGTCTCTCATCCGCACGAATACGTAACCCTCGCTGAGCGAGTGCGGGTCCCCATCCTCCTCGTCAAAGGAAATTTGCTCCTCGGCGTTGCGTCGCGCCCTATGCGCTCTCTTGGACTGAGGATTCCGCTCGAGCTCTACAAAGTCGCGGAGGGCCTCGGCGATGTGTGCGCCCATCCAGTCGTAGCCCGCTGGTGTCAGATGCAGGCCGTCGTCCCAGTACCTTCTGCATTCCCGCTCGGTCAGGGCGTGGTATGGGATCCTCGGGTTGAGGTCGAAGGCGTGGCTGGGTGGTTGGTGATTAGTACGTTGGCCTTGTGATTTTCTTCTGACATGGAAACAGAGGACTGGATACACGGAATGAAAGAGCATGTGTGAAAGGCAGGACATACTAATTAGGGGATTGATGAGAGAGGATGCTGCTGTTTAGCTGCCGCCGGCGGGCATCGAGCTTCTCATTCTTGGCTGAGCGTTCGGGGACCGTCAATGCGAGCACTTTGCTGCCCTTTGCGATGGCAGAGTCGTATACTTTTCGAAGAGAGTCAAATATTCTATCTGGCGGCACGTCGTATGCAAGGTCGCTGGCGCATGCTATCAGTATGGGGCAGCTTCAAGGGGAATTCACATGGACATTAAACATACTTTGTGCCTCCCAGTATGACGACCCAGTCATATTGTGCTTGGTTCACTATATCCTGATATTAGCAAGTACTTCATGTACAACAAGCCGGGAAGATGAGATGAAATGAGAGGAGGGATGAGAAAGTCGTGACAGAACATTGCGACAATGCAGTGAACGTCGAATGAAAAAGGAAAAGGAAAAAGTACGAACTCTCGCTCTCGAAGCGCTGCGCAAAGGCTCCCTGCGAAACGACATCACCGGGCATGCCGTTATCCGTCGCCACGATCTGCGTGTCGGGAAGGTACATGGCGAGCAACTTTGTGAGGGCGATGGAGTACGGGTGGTAAACGGCGCCGTAGGACGAGTACCCGGCCGTCAGCGAGTCGCCGAAGCAAAAGATGCGGAGCGTCTTGTCTTTGGACATTCTGAATTTTCTTATTCCTCACAGATCTGGTGGTCTTGTTGACCGATGTGTATCGTGTTGCCGTGTTGTCCTGTCGTTATGGGCGGATTCTGCCTAGGTACACACTTCACCCTGCCGTTAACGGTAGAATGGCGTTTTTGGCCAAGGGTGCCGTAAGACTATCGTTGGCCGTTTCCCGCTCTCTTTCTCGGGCTCCTAATGTTAATTTCTTGGCCTCAGCTTACTTGAGATACGGATATCGCTATGTTGACCAGAGTGAAGCCAGCTAGACGCTGGTGAAGTAAGGGAAGATCGTGAGCGGAGCACAAAGTCCCGGGGAGCGGTCACCGAGGAGCAGGGGGCGGGTGTTCATCCGCCGTAGTCGCAGAGCAGTATCAAGCGCAGGCTGGAGTGGATGGTTGATAGGTCCAAATAAAGTGATGGCGCAATTATTGATCCGCTTGGTATTGAGATGAACAACTGGTTCGTGGGTGTAGAGTGTTATCCAAATGATGAGTAGTCAATAAGTCGTCGTCGAAGGTAGGCTGACGGAAGGGCATGAAGTTGGACAGAGGTCAGGTGGGGTGGGCGAACGACGGACGGGCGTACCGGTGGAAGGGGGACACGGGCACCGATAGGCAGTCACACTGGACTTCCATTGACGGGAGAGGAAGAACAGGTGGTGGGGGTGGGGGTGTGTGGCTGCTGCGACCGGGCAGAGTCCCCTGGACGTTTGGATGGACGCTTAGGTCCCGCCACACTCTCTCGGAAACAGTGAAATGGACGCCTTTCTTGACCGGAACTCCAGCCCAGCACGCTCACTTTCCTAAGGCAGCGAAACCTACAGGAACTCAGCTTTGAGCAGCCAGCAATCACCACCTCGCCTCACGTAAGGCAAGCTAATCAAATCAAGAAGAGCCCAGGCAACAGCGACGCGGTGGTTTTACTCTTGGGGCAGTGCAAAACGCTTCGTCTTCTGCGTTGAGGTGTGTTTCGTAGCAAGAGTTCGGGAAACTCCTGTCTCGATGGATAACTTTGCGTTTCTTTAGCCTGAGCGGGTGTGTCTCTGTAGGTACACACACTGGTTAGAACCCACGGCCCTTCTCACATCTTGTCTCATACAATATTTCTTTTGGGAAACTTGACAGCTCGATAAATCCACCTTTGTTCAGTGTGGGTTCCGATCGTTTGTGGATGTTGATTGTCTGTGGTATTACACTACAACTTTATGTTCCGTTTCTATGTACAGCCTCCTCTGTCCTCCACACGCCATCGTGACCATTTACTTATGAATACCATTATAAACATTATATACGTTACAAGTGTATCTTTTCCTGCTGTTTCGTTTGGTATCTTGAAGGCATCTTGAACCGATCCCCCAGTGCCCCTGCAACAATTTGGATATCATGAGATTGGTCGTTTCACCAAGACGTTCTAGGAAATAAACAGCGGGCTAAATCATGACGTTGTCATGAGAGCCTTGGTTTCCCGTATGGGGGAATATTGCCCATATCTCAGGGCTTCGTCACGGTGCTTGTCGCGAAGTCACTTTCACGCTTTACGCAAGCTCCGGTTGTTGCCAGCGGCCTCTCTCAGTGTGCCACCACCTCTCGCGATCCTTCTTGTCCGAGACAGTGGATGACACGTTCCACCGGCCCTGGCAACCTTCACGCCCGACGGCGACCTCCTCGCCGTTATCCGCCACAAGGTCTGCCATCTCGACCAGCCCGCCGCGCTCGTCCTTTGCGCCAGGGTCGGGACGCAGGTTATACGTGATGCGGCTCTCTACCGTGCCAATGAAAGCCGCGAGTCCATACTTCTCCAGCACCGTGCCGTCCTCGTCAATAACATTCAAAAAGAACCGCGGGAGCGCTGCGCGCGCGGCCTCGAGGCGGGCCTGCGCCGCGAGCCGGGCTACGTGAAGATTCGTGCATTCGCGAGCGGGATCGGTCATGACCGGGGACGCCGGTGCGGTGGGTGAACGGGACGGCTTCGTTGGCGAGACGGGGCTATGGGTCGTACCGGGGGTGGGAAATGAGGCGCTCCTGGCGGGTCCGTTGGGGCCGCGGAAGCGGTCGCTGGCGCTGTCTGTCCTCTCCTGCGGGCGGCAGAGGGCTTGGAAGATGCCTTCGGGATCGTTGGGACTGCGAAGACTGCGCAGGGAGGGGAAGCCGTCGGCGGCGATGCTGCGGGCGAGGATGGAGTCGGCGGCGTTGGCGTGGGTGGTGTTGCTCGTTATGTCCCAGTGGAGCTTTCGCAGGGACGAAGAGGCGAGATATGGCATGAGCCAGATAAATGTGTCCTCCGGGAGCGTGGGCGCAAATGGTTGGACGAGAGTGAACGCCTCGAGGTAGGTGAAGTTAGAAAAGATGCGAGCCAAGGCGGGCAGGGAGTCGAGGTTCGTGTGGCGCAGTGTCAGTTTCTGGATCGCTTGGCTCGTCGGGAGTGTAGCCAAGGCAGAGATGCCGTTGCTGGTGACGCCCGGTACGTGGGTGAGTGAGAGTGTACGCAAAGGGGGGAGCGAGAGCAGTGTGCTATCATTAAAGGCTGTCACTGGCATCCACGATAGAAAAAGGTGCTGCAGAGACGTTAGGTGCATCAGTGCTGAGCTGACGAGGTTATCCGGAGTAAGGGTTGCGCCAGGAAGGCAGTGAATCGACAAGGTCGTGAGATGGGCCCAGTCGACGTGGAAGTCGAGGAATGCCGCGCTCTGGTGTGGTTGCAGGTCGCCGGGTGTGATGGAAGCATCGGAGGCTGCCTGTGTTATCGCGGCGACGTTGCTACCCGAGCTCGACTTGAATCGGTGTTGCCGCTGGTAGGGTGAAGGCTCGACGATCCAATCCATGTGCTTCAGACGCTTGCGCGATGAGAGCGCGTGGAAGAGCTTGCTGTATGAATGATTATACTGGGGGTGAAGGCCGACGAGACGCTCAAAATTGGGACAAGCCATGATCAGCGCCGCGACCTGATTGTGATAGTCCTCCAGCACGACCCCGGCAGGGGGGCTCGGGACCTTGAGAGTGTGGACAAGTCCGGCGAGGTACGAATTCGCTCTCAATGTCCGTCTGAGTAGCATCATGCGCGAGCCGAACGTAACTTTGTGTCGCTTTTTCTGAGATGATGAATCGGCTCCAACAAGTTGGATATCCTCATACCTAAGATACGGAGTCAGCAAAGAGACAGATCATGGCGAAGGGCAAGAGTCTTACAAGGCCACTCGCGCGAACTTGCACCATTTTCTCGCCGTCAGGGTAACCGAACAGACATCCCTCATCCAACATGTCGCGCAGCTGTCCGTGGGCTTCTCGAGATGGAGCTTCTTGAGCTCGCCGAGAATCAGCTCCAAGACCTCTCCGGGCAGTTTCGCAAAGATTTCTCCAGGCTTCGCCTTTTTCCTGAAGATGGACGTCTGACTGGGCCGCGAGTACATATACTCGGGTCTCCACATGTTGGGACTCGAATCGATGCTTGTCCTGTGGCTGCTGTACGACGAGCTTCGGGATCGTGTCTCAAAGCTTTCTCTCGGGCTGTTGATGCTCGTAACGGTGATGGTGGATGCTTGAGAGAGTTTCCTCGGCCGATTGAGAGCTGTGGTAGGCATTGATTCGCAAATGAGCTTCGAATCTAAAGGAGCCGTCTGCAAGGCGTATGGCACCCGGGCGATGCGCGGACTTGAGCGCGCTGGCTCTGTTGTAGCCATCGTAGCCATCGTGGACTGTTGCTGTTCACCCTTGTGGTTGTACAATTCTGGAGCGCCGAAGTACGCCGGAGCAGGTCCGTGGCTGGCGGTCATAAGCGGAGACGACGGGACGGAGATGGAAGCGGCGATAGCTGGACGCGGAGCGAAACGACCAGGGACTCTCAGACGGTTACCATCATGGAGGATGTAATTGGAAGCAGCAGGTGCAGCGGAAGCTCGCCTCTTGTGTTGAAGAGACCTCGGGTTGCTATGGAGAAGAGACAAGTCGTGTCAGTACAAAGGTACTTCAGGGATCATCCAGCAAACGGGATTCGGCAGCGGGCAAAGTTCCAAGCCAAGAATGGAACAGGAAGTCGGCCAACAAGCAAATCCCAGAAATAAAAGAGCTAGAGAAGCGCCAACGTGACGTGATGGGGGGTTCTGTCAAGTTTAATACAAAAGAACCGAAGGAAAGAAAAGGAAAAAGAGAGAGAAGAAAAAATCACCCGGAGCCAAGAAAGGACACGCAAAGAACGGCACCGGCACACACCAAGGAGGCTACCGCTGGGCAATCTGCAAGTGCACCCTGGATTCGACAGAGGCTTGCGCGGGCAGAGAGGTGCGTGGGCTGTGCCCGGACCGGCGCTCGCTCTGATGATCCTATCTAGATGGAGTCTGATGAGTGGTCGCCCATCCATCGTCCGGGGGGTGGAGGAAGTGGTTTGGGGGTCGTCGTTCCTCGAAGACCCCCCTGACCCTTGGCCCTTGTGAGCCTGCCTCGAAGTGGAAACACTCATCAGCCATATCTCGAGCTACTTAGGACTTGGGAGATCCCACGGCTTCGTTGTTGGGCGGCGACTACACTACCAAGTGCAGATACGCAGTGACGAGCTAGCCGAGTCGCGCAACCCAGCAACGTGGGCGCGGCGATGAGAACTCCCTACTTTAGCACTCGCGCTAGGGCTTACACTACGTACGGCGCGAAGAGGAACAGAAAGAGGCAGAGAAGCAAAACTTGTCTCGTGGCGTGCCGCTTGGCGGGTAGCGACGCAATTCTGCCTTGCTTTGCAACTGGCAGAGACGCGCGCCACTGTTCCTGGTGGAAATTAGGGCAAGCTCCTGAGCGGTCTCTAGACTCTCCGTTCTGCCGGGCCCTCGTTGTGATGGTTCCCGTAGATGGCAAGCCGCGAGCCGTCTATCCTGAAGAGTTACACCGAAGCCTTCAAAACTGTGTTTGAGATTCCGCGAAACAAGGGGAGGGGAGGTGAATCGTGATAACGACGCAAGGATGAAGCAGCATCATTCGATCATGGGATCCGCAACGCTCAACTGAAGCTGGAGACGAGATGCAGGGATCATGGCAGGGGCAAATGTGGAAGAGGAAAGTCGTGGGTACAGAGTAATCCGAGCTCCCATTTCGTGCGTTGGCCGTCGATGCATTTCCCATCTCAGAAGTGACAGGTAACTCTGTCTCCGCCCCGCCCAGCCTGGGCAGGAGGATCTCGTGGGGACGTAATCTTGACAGCAAACCAACCGGGACAACTTGACGGCATCGCAGGAAGTGGCTTGTTCAATCGGGCTG